ATCCATCATCCATCCATCCATCCATCATCCATCCATCCATCCATCCATCCATCCACCCATCCATCCATCATCATCCATCCATCCATCATCCATCCATCCATCATCCATCCATCCATCCATCCATCCATCATCCATCCATCCATCATCCATCCTTCATCCATCATCCATCCATCATCCATCCATCATCCATCATCCATCCATCATCCATCCATCCATCATCCATCATCCATCCATCATCCATCCACCCATCATCCATCCATCATCCATCCATCATCCATCCATCCATCCATCCATCATCCATCCATCATCCATCCATCCACCCATCCATCCATCCATCCACCCATCCATCCATCCATCCATCCATCCATCCATCATCCATCCATCATCCATCCATCATCCATCCATCATCCATCCATCCATCCATCCCTCCACCCATCCATCCATCCATCCATCATCCATCCATCCATCCATCCATCCATCCATCATCCATCCATCCATCATCCATCCATCATCCATCCATCATCCATCCATCATCCATCCATCCATCCATCCATCCCTCCACCCATCCATCCATCCATCCACCCATCCATCCATCCATCCACCCATCCATCCATCCATCCATCCATCCATCCATCATCCATCCATCATCCATCCATCCATCATCCATCCATCATCCATCCATCATCCATCCATCATCCATCCATCCATCCATCCATCCATCCCTCCACCCATCCATCCATCCATCCATCATCCATCCATCCATCCATCCATCCATCCATCCATCCATCCATCCTTCTGCTCTCAGCGTCCTTTAAATTACCTTCTTCCCTTCACTGCTCCTCAGTCTCCATCTTCTCCTCCAACTCTGATCTTCCTCATATTCCCAGACCAGATCAAGAGCAGACCAAGCATTGACTGTCGCAGTGCAGGAATTCTGGGCGCCATCTTGGGGAGGTCGACCTGCTACCCTAACGTGCTGCTTTAAGCCGAACAGAAGGATGCCTCAGCACTGCAGCGTATTTTAGTTTAAATCAACAGACAGTTGACATCAGGGCTTGACGGATAACTTAGTGAAGGCATCAGAGCTTTGGAAGACATTACTGAATAAACCGCAGATATACACTACATAGAATAGAAACTCTATAGAAATAAACTGAATTAAATATTTTTACTGTATAAAGAAAGAGAGAGATGTATATAGAGATATTTGTGTATACCTGTATAAATATGCTATAGTGAAATATGTATGAGTGGCTCTGCTTTGCAATGTTCATCCATCCTATCAGAATATTCTATTACTCTTAATCCCACTAAGAATATTAAAATAAACTGAACCATTTTTTTGTTTTCAGCAGAAAAAAATAAACAGTGAAAATTAATTTAATATTCAGAAAGTTAAAGTTGATTAAATTTATTTATGTTCCTGCTCAACACATTGCAGAGCGGAGCTGTGGACCTTCCCTAGATGGTGCCACCAAATCACAGCAGCGCCCTCAGGCTGAAGCGGTCGATGCAGGTCTACTCTAATATTATGTCAAAGCCTCCCCTATTATGGATATTTTATGGATTTACATTTGATTTTTTGTATTTTTTATGGAATGTTGCATCTCTGCTTTTATTTTCTGTTGCAGTTTGAATTTTCTTTGTAAATAAAAAACTTCATACTGACTCCAGATTTTTTTCTGTTCCTTTGATCCGGATCAGAGATCAGCTTTGATCTGACCTGCATTCAGGACTCGTTTTCTCCATCCTGACCCCTGCTGTGACCTCTGACCTTCTTCTCTGTCGCCACCTGAAGGAGAAACGCCGCTCTCAGCTCCATGAAGCGCTGCTGCTGGAATCTTAGGCCAGATCCGCGTACAGAACCACAGCTTCAGGCCCTGCAGCTACTGGATAATATCTAAATCTAGATAAGTCATTTTTTATTAAAATAAATGCATTTATTCTTGGATTGAGAAGGTAAAAGAGACATTTTGCAAATAGAACAAGACTATTTACATTTAAAATAAGAAAACACTGCATTGCCTTATTTCCTGTGCATATTATCTAATTATCTTATTCTAACAGTAAAAATATTCATTCCATTGGCAAACTAACTCATTTACCTGCTCAAATTAAAGGTAAAGACACTTAATTTAAGACATTTTTACTTATTAGTAGATTTTTTTTCCAGATGCCTCAGTGTGTGTGTGTGCTGTGGTTGGGGATGCTCTGTGCCGTTTGCGCTGTGGATGCCTCACGCCCACAGAGCCTGCAGAGCATCTCGGCCCGACCACCAACCGCTCTCTCTTCATCTCCCTTTTCCTTTTTTGGCCTTTTTTTTTCTTATTCCGGAAAACCAGAAGCCTCCTGCGTTGCACAACATCGGCCTCCAACAGGAGGCTCTGGGTGGGTGGGGGGCAGGGAGGTGCTGCCTTCACTGTCTGCTTTAACTCAGGGGGATCCACCGCACAGAGCTGGGCCGTTACAGTGGGCTGGATCCACAGGTGCCGGTGGAGGCCCATGTGGGCCTAAGGGGGACGGGTTCAGGGCCTTAGCTCAACGGTTCCGACTCCAGTTTGACTCTAAACGAGTCTAATTAACATTTTATCAGGAAACTGAAAAAAACAGAAAGCACCGTTTTAGTCAAAGTGCTGTTTGGATCATGGAGCTGGTGGTGGTGGCCCCTGCTTAAACTAACTGTTGGACAGATGCAATATTAGGCAGCTGCCAAGGGCCCCAAGTTCCTGGGGGCCCCATAAAACTCTGTCTCCATGTATGGTTAATACAACTATTCCTTATTTGTTCACATTAATTATGTTTTTGATAAAAATCCTTTGGCTAAAATGCCATCAGAACGCTGATAATATTAAGTGTGTCTCAGCCCCCCCCATCAGTGTCCACCATATTGGATCAGTCCATTTGCTGCACATGTTCAGAAAGGTCCAAACAGACAGCAGCAAACCATTTATCCATCCATCACGCTCATCCCAAGCTGGGGATGTTGATGCCCATCGCCAGCTGTCTGCAGGGAAGAGGCGGGGTCCACCCTGGGCAGGTCGCCAGGGCAACACAGAGACAAACAGGACAAACATCCATTCAAATCTAAGGAGAATTTAGAGAAGCCAATTAACCTAACAGTCATGTCTTTGGACTGTGGGAGGAAGCTGGAGTACCCGGAGAGAACCCACCCATGGTCAGGGAGAACATGCAGACTCCATGCAGAAAGATCTCAGGCCAGGAGTCGAACCCAGAACCTACTTGCTGCAAGGCAGCAGTGCTACCCACTGTTCCACTTAGCAGCAAACCATTTGAAAAGTTGCCAACTTAGCGCTTTAGTCGCTATATTTAGCCACTTTTCAGACCCCTCTAGCACTTTGATTTCTAAAAAGCTCCTAGCGCCAAATCTAGAGACTTTTTTCTGCTACTGGAGACTTTGGAGACAACATCTAAAAGCAGCGAACTCTGCTCTCCAGAGCAAGTAGATTGGTAACCCCGCCTCCTGCTCTCCTCTATCTTGTCTGCTGTCATGATTCATGCAGCTATTATTTCATCCAAATGAAAAATGGAGAACAGATAAGCAGATCATGGCTTGTCTACAGTGAAAAGAAGGACTGGGTTATTTACTTTGGCCTTTTTGGAAACACAGGAAGGAGCAATCAGCTAAGTGAGCTTAGTGCTTGGAAAAAATCTTTCATTCCTTTAGAGACAGCATGAAAAGTCAGCTGAGTACAAAACATAGAGAGGAAAACAAGAAGAAAAGGGACAAGAAGAGAGGGACACAACCTAGAACAGATAATGGATGTCTATTCTATTAACATTTCTACATCTGGAGAATGGGGCTGTTCTATGTGTTGGCTTCTCTATTCAGAGGGGCCCCTGCCTGTCTTTGCCTAGGGCCCCACACTTCCTGAATCCGCCCCTGAGTACAGGGGGTGTTAATCCGGATCGCAGAACCTCCCAAACCGACCATCCGTCATTTATTAGACGGGTTCACCTCAGGCTGCACTACAGGCAACATTTCCATCGACATGTTTACCCAGAGACGTTCATCTCTAAAGATTGTTTTGAGAGGCTTAAACTGAAAAGTTTTTTTTTCTTTTCTAGGACGTTGCTTCACATTTGATGGACTTTCTCTAATATTGCCATTTTTATTTTCCTAAGTGTCTGCATCACATGCTTTCTGAGCTGCTGTCTCAACATTTCATCACATTCATTGGGCCTTTATCTATGCAGCTCATCCTACATTGGAAAAATATAAATATTGGTCAATCAAATTTTATAGAAATAAGCATATTTCCTGTTGACTGATCTTATAAGACAATTTTCCAATGGAAAAAAAGATGATTTATGTAAAAATATGAATAAAAACACAACTCTGTGATCTTATTTCATCCACATATCTAAATATTTTATCTTGGAGGGAAACTTTTTCCATTAAAAGATCCTTTTATTTACTGAGTCAAATAACTTCATTTTAAGAAATGATTTATCAAAAAAGTTAAAATCAATCCTCTGGACTTTGTTTCCAGGTTTGAAGACGTTTCTCTTCCATCCAGGAAGATTTTTCAATCCAAAATGTCAGAAATAGCGTTTAGTTCCAGGTTTTATCCAGCAGCCCAACAAAGCCTGGTTTTAGTTTAGAAATGGATGAACGGGTCCCCCCCTTTGGAATGGAGGTCATTTGGCTTCTTCATTAGCCTGAAATAATGTCTGGTTTGGGGTATTCAGAGACATAGACAGGTATGGGGCATTGCAGGCTAACAAAGAAGCCAAACGACCCCCATTCCAAAGGGGGGGACCCGTTCATCCGTTTCTATTTGCATGTTTTCTAAACTAAAACCAGGCTTTGTTGGGCTGCTGGATAAAACCTGGAACTAAATGCTATTTCTGACATTTGGATTGAAAAATCTTCCTGGATGAAAGAGAAACGTCTTCAAACTGGGAAACAAAGTCCAGAGGATTGATTTTTGTTTTATTACTTTTTTTGGAACCAGCAGTCACAGAACCAAACAGGCAGCTTTGGGTTTCAGATCATTTTACTTCCAGAAGACAAAGCAGGTCAGAGAGCTGCAGCTGGTTCCCTGATACCTTCAGACCGGAGAAGGTTCTAGGAACCAAAGTGGTTTCCTCTGAAATCGGCTAATCTCCAGGTGACGTCCAGCTCTGCCAGAACCGAAGCGCAGACGTATCCATCCACAGAGCAACAACCAGGTCCAGAACTCCCAGGACCCGGTCCCATTTACTGCACAGTGGAGGAGCGGCCAGCCGGCGGGGTAGAAGGGTCCAGGCCGGGCAGCCGGCGCCCTGATTGGTCGGCTCTCCTCCTCGCCGTCGTCCTATTGGCCGCTTTCCTCTTCCTGGTTTGGATCTCTTCTTTCTTCAGGATCAGCGGCCGCTGGACCTGCAGACAGGAGGGTTAGAACTCAGAACGGTTCTGGTTCCGCAGTCTGGCTGAGCGTGAGGTTACTGGTTAAGCTAACTGGTTGGAGGTAACCAGTTACTGGTTGTCTGTAACTAGTTAAACAAAATGTTACCCATTGGGGTCAAAGGTTACATGTAACTAAGAAGAGGCTACTGGTTATTGGTCAGTTTACTGGTTACACATCATGGGTTTCTGGTAACTGGTTAGAGGCTACTAGTTACCAGTAAAAATGTTACTGGTTGCACCTTTTCTAGAGGTCACAGGTTATTATTTGAAATGTTTCAGGTAACATGATACTGGTTATGGTTCACTGGTTACTGGTTAGTTTGGTTTTTCTCGTTCAAGTTTAACAGCTAGAGGTTTCTGATTAACCTGGTTACAGGTTAAAGGTCACATGTGATTAGTTACAGGTAACTTGTTTTAGACTGTTGGTCAATGGTTAAAGGCCAAGTTATTAGATAAAGCTAACTGGTTACTAGTGAGAGGCTACTGGTTATAGGCTGAGAGCGATCTGGCTGCAGGCCTGCACTGTCGGGACCGGATGTTTTATAAGCCCCATTTACACTACTACCCCATTTAGCAGAACTTTTAATGCTTTTTTAGGCTTTGCGTTGGGCGCTGCAGGACCTGGTGCAGTTTGTAGTAAAGTCCGCAGGCGTTGCAGACGGGTTCTCCTTCAGCGTTCCTTCTCCACAGAGACGTGGTTTCTGTGTCACAGTTGGAGCAGCGAGTTCCTCTCCTGGCTGCCGCCATCTGGAAAGAGAAAAACGTAAACATGTAAACATGTAAACTGGCTCCTCAGTCTGATCTAGTCCTGCTCTTCTCGCCCCGCCCCCTGATCCTGCAGTCTGATGTGTTGCTTGCCTCTAATGCTGCGTTCACACCGGACGCAGCAAAAGCAGCAAAATCGCGTCTGCTGCTTCCTTTTTGCTGCTTGTACCAGTTAGTTCTGACGCGTGGCTGAAGCAGCTTTGCTGCTCTGGCTGTGCGGTGCAAAAGTGTGTCTGACGCGCGTTGGGCGGAGCTACTCTATCCTTTCTCTGCCTTGCAGCTATATTTACCTTGATCAGTGGGAATAAAGTAGTTTTAATATATTTTTAAGTGAGAAAATACACCTGAAAACTTAATCAGTGCCGTCAGTTCATCCAGATTATCATCCTGCCTTCAATATTATTTCTGTCGGAGCCGCTCAGACCCCCACATACCAGCGGTGCGCCGACAGTAGGAATCCCTTCTTCAGCAGCCTCTGGCCGGGTCGCCTCCTCGCAGTTCACCGCGGCGGCTGGTAGGTGTTTTTCATCTAAATAATCCAAACTGCAGGCAGCAGGATAATAAAAGCCAACATATTCTGCCGGCAGATTTCTGCATTTTAAGTTAATTTATGCGTCAATAAACTGTTTTAGAGGAGTGATCATAGCGCTCTGTGTCATCAGTGATGTGTCTCTCTCTGCCAGGTCCCAGATCAGCTTCTCTGATTGGTTGACGCGGCGCGTCGAGCAGCAAAAGTTCAATTTTTCCATCTCGAGCAGCAGCGCGTTTGCGGCGCGTCAGATGCTTAAACGCTCCCGACGCGCTGCTTCACCTGCTCAGACGGGCGGCGCCTGCTGCTCAAAACGCGCTGCGGGACCTTTTGCTGCGCTTTGACGCGCGTCAACCATTGACTTTGCATGTAAAAACTCGCTGCTTCTGCTGCGTCCAGTGTGAACGTAGTGTGTTGCTGAGCATCAGTGTTTGGTGGTGACCTCACCGCTCGCCTCCTCGGCCTCAGCAGCGGCGTGTTCCGGTCCTTCCTCCCGTCGTCCGCTCTCAGGCTGCAGGTGTAACACAGGTGTTCCGCCGCTGCCACCCTCCTCCACAGGAGGGCGCTCCTCGTCCCGCAGCTCGCGCATTCCCGCTGCTCTGCACAAAGACAGCGCCAACCCAGGTGGGGTGATGGATGCGACTGCGCTCAGGTGTGTTTTTGTCATTAGTGGGAGTGGTCCCGGTTTTAACCAATCACAGGCTGCCGTGGTAACGATGGACTTCCCTCATCTTCCCCTCCTCTTACAGGTAAACACTCACCTGGAGGACAGCAGCCGGCTGAAGAAGAGGAGGAGGTGCTAAGCAGACCCCGAGAGAAGCTGTTCCATCCAGGCGTGGGGGGGCAGAGGAGGTCAGGGGGCGGAGCCACAGCATGATGCCCAAATAAGGCGGAGCTGAACGGATGACAGCCGCCCGCCTGGTGAGCGAGGCTGAGGGGCTTTGGGTTGGCTTCATCAGACGGCCGCTGCGATTGGATGAGAGGGGCTGAGGGGGCGGGGTCAAACTGGGAGAGAAATCAACACCTCAATCCACAAAGAAAACATCGAGTTCATTCAAACGCATCTGAGCCGACCTGATGAGGTTAAATCATCGCAGGAAATAAAAAATAAAAACAGCCCAATAAAGACGCTTTGAGGACAATGATGTTAAAATATTAGATAAAGAGGACAGGAGGTTTGAGACGGGGGGGAAGGAAGCCATTTATGTTAGAAGAGAAAAACCAACCTTAAACAGAGGGGGGGGGGGACTCAGATTTCAGCTTCCATAAACCTCCAATGCAGCGATAGAGTTGATTACTTCCCGCTATCATCTCAGCCCCCATCGCCATGCAGGGGCCAAACCATCTCACCAGGTCAGCCAGGCCAACAATTCCCCTTAACCTCTGCCTTTCCAGAGGAATGGGTCAGTATCGGCTACTGCAGGCCAATTACGACCTCAACGACGCCCGTTATTAAGAGGTGGAGCTGGTTTTATGGGTTCAGTGTTCATGTTTTCTAAGCCATTACAAGCCTTTGATGGACTACTTTATTAAAGCCTGGAACTCAAAGCTAAACCAGACATTTGGAATTGAAAAAGCTTACTGGATGGGAAGAGAAACATCTTCAATGTTTTTTAACTTTAAATTTTTGGAAGCCCAATAAAGTCTCATCCTGCTGCGGATCTACAATCAGGATAGAAAAGTTTGTGTCCTTCCAATTGCTAGAACATGTTGGAGAAAGTGGAGGCGGTGGAGAGAAAACGGACCGGGAAATCGGAGCCACAGAGGCTCCAAACGTTACAGCAGGTTCATCTGTTCACCATCTGACCCAGAAACCACCAAAGCCATCCAGAAACGGCTCCGATGGTTTTAAGGGAAAACTCCATTAATATTCAGAATCCAAACCTCTGAAAGTTCTTTATATATGAAATGATTCCATCCTGTTCAATAAATGATCAGTGTTTTTAATTCAGAGTCATTTTCCTGTGAATGTGCTTTACTGGAGGCATCCATGTTTGTCAAAGAACACTACTGCCACCTACTGGTTAGTGACGTCACGGTGCGGTATCGGCTGTTGATCAAGTCCCAGTGCTGTATCTGGTGTTTGTCACAACGCGCTATTATCCAAGTCATCTTGAAAACATTCTTCTTCCAAATGTTGGCTACATATTACGGGTTTTTTCTCTGGCCAGAAGTTCGATGGCAAATCCTCCCTCTTCAAGTTGGCGATCCAACGACCAACCCGTCCGTGGAGGATCAGGAATCAGAAAGGTGGAATAACTCTTTTTTTCCACTTTTACCCGATGTATTCCAGCATCCAGCTGCCATGCACGTGGGCATTGTCAGTTTCACTATAGCTCTGGAGAATTTCAATGGTGAAGTCCTCTGGAAATCTTCAATAATTGTTGTTGATTGCAGATGTGTCTAGTGGTTCCCATTGATTTAGCTTGGAAAGCGGGGAGAATGGCGCTAGGCTTACCGCACCGTGACGTCACTGCTGGATGATGGTAGGAGGGAGGGGCTACTATATTTGGGCAAAAATGGCTGCTCCCAGACTCAGTGATGACGACGAAAATTATTATTATAATTTTTTTACTGATTAACGCTAAATCATTAAATCACCGCAAACATTTTAGTTTAAGGTGTAAATAATGATCCATTGATTATTCCTGCTGACTTTTCCTTTAAAGCCAAACTGAATAAGTAAATATTACTCATAACATCTGCAAAGCAACGAAAGAGAACAATAAATGTTCCTAAAACGGATCCAAAGGCAGCAGAACCACACAAACACCAAGGCTCTAAATACACGATCCTGAGGAACCCCACAACTAACAGGAGGAACAGCTTCATGCTGGGTCTGTAACAGCAGCAGAACCTCAGTGGTACCAAACATCTCTGGAGATCAACCACTTCCTCTAAAAGGTTGAAGAGGAAACTGCCTTCGATCCTTTGATGGTTTTATACCATGAGAGGAAATCAGGCTGTTTAGAGATCAGCTGAAAGTCCAGCAGGTCCAAACCTCCAGAACTGACCTTCAAACCAAACGCAGAGGATCTTCCACAGCCGCTGAGAGGAGAAGCTGAGGTCCAAACGGCCGACGGAAATAAATCTGACATCATCTGCTCTTCTAAGTGGAGACGGAGTGAGAGCTCTGTCTGCTGGCAGAGGATCTCTGATCCAACAATGAGGTTCTTCAGAGATGAAGGAGGGTTCCTCCGTCTGTGGAGGAGGAGGGAGGTTCTGGCTCCGCCCACAATCCCCACACTGATGTTTTCTGGTTTAAAAGAATGAAACTGGGTCAGAACCTGGAACCGATCGGTCTGAGGGAAAAGTCTAAAGATGAGAAACAATAAAGAGACTTTAAGTTCAGATCCAGTCCATAAGTTCCTGTGGGTCCGAGTTCCCCTGACTGGGAAGGGTTACTGGACCAGAACAGTTCTGACCAAGAACCACCTGCACAGGTGTTTGTTCTTCCAGCTGTGGATGAGGGGGGTCCTCCCAGTACCACCAGTATCGGATTCAGAACCTTGTTCTGGACCCGATTCTCTAGAACTGTTCCAGGATCAGGGTCCATGCTGGTACCAGTAAAACAACCCGATTCTGGTTCCAAGTGAAACAATAATGTTGGTTTAAACGGCTGGTCAGTCACTGGGTTTCCATGGAAACCCAGTGACCCAGTCAGTCACACACACCACAAAGCAGCTGCCTGGAACAGAGCCGGATGTGGATTAAAGAAACCGTCCCATCAGTCCGGTTCCGCTCGGCAGCATCTTAGTTCAGTTCACATCGGTCCGGTCCATGTGATCCGGATCACCCCCCCCCCTCCCCCCACCCCCACCAGTCCAACGGGTCGGGTCTTTCAGAGGCAGGAGGCGTGCGGCCGCAGCAGCGCCGGGACCACCACGCTGTTCTCCATGGGCAGGTCTACGGCGAAGTCAGAGGGCGGAGCCTGCAGGCGCTGGCGGGGGGGGCAGCCCCCCCTCTGAGGGATGGGCAGCTCCGGGTGGTGAACAGGAAGAGGAAAGGAGAAGAAGTATGGATGGACCAGAGCCTTCAGGAAAGAGGAGCAACAATCAATCAGGATTATATTCATCACCTGGACCGGACCGGACCGGACCGGACCGGACCGGACTGGACCGGACCGGACCGGTTCTGGTCTTTGAAATGGACTAAACAAACAGGATCCCTGCAGTACCAGCAGAGAGCACCAGCTCCACTTCCTGTTCCCCACCTGTCTGGCGGAGCAGCGCTGTTTGGACGGATAAACCAGGAACCTGTAGAGCAGGTGGATGGCCTGGGGGGGCGTGTCCGGGACGATCTCCTCCAATGGGATTGCTGGATTGTCCTTAAAGGTGATTTTGTTGTAATCCGGCAACTCCACTATTTCCTGGAGAGAAAGAGGAGAGAAGTCCTGATTCTTAGGCTGCTTCTCACTATGTGTACTTGTGCGTTCTCATGTGAAACGGACGGGGCCGCCTGTGGAGCTGGTTGACAGTTGCCTTTTGTATCTATGCTTCTTTTTCTATGTCTGCTTCTGTCTCCTTGAACCCCAGTGGGCCTCAGCAGATGGCCGCTCACACTGAGCCTGGTTCTGCTGGAGGTTTCTTCCTGTTCAAAGGGAGATTTTCCTCTCCACTGTCGCTACAAGCATGCTTAGTGTGAGGGATTGCTGAAGAGTCAATGAGTCGATGCAATCAGCTGGTTTTCCTTAGATAGAAAACGTTGAATCAATCTGACTGGATTATCTGGTTGAACTGGAAAGTGACCTGAGATGACAGGATGTGAATTGGAGCTATAGAAATAAACTGAATAGAAGTGAATTATTATTCCAGTAGAACTCCTCCGTCCCTCTGGACTTCCACAACCAAACCAGAAAGGTTCTCCACTGGTTCTATAAAAGCTCCTCTAGAACCCCACAGAAGTCTCTAACTCGCTTCCCTTACAGCTAATTAAAAATTTCCTGAACTTAAACCCAAATATCTTCCAGGTTAAAACTCCCCTGAACGTAAACATCTACTCCAGAATCCCACTGGAACACCAACACCATCTTCCCTCCAGAGTAATTTAACGGGCAGAACCCCTAAACTATGTAGAAAATGTTTGATGCTCCTGCTGAACTTTGTCTGTCCTACCAGGCTACATCATGTGGGCCCTGTCCTCTGGCTCGGTTCTGGTTCTGTTTGGCGCTGCGGTGTGGACTTAGGTGTTCCTTACAGGCCAGCTGTCCCGCGTCGGCGTTCCCAGCACTCTGAGGACGCAGCAGAGCTGTTCAATGTCGTTTTCTCCAGGGAACAGAGGAGATGAGTTCAGCAGCTCTCCAAAGATGCAGCCCACAGCCCTGAAAGCAGAGATCAGGTCAGACTGCTGCTGCCCCCTGGTGTTCACCTCTGATCAGCAGTTATTTTACATCCCTCTGCGATTGAGATGACCCGGTTCATGGTAAACACTCAGAAGCAGGCAGCAGGAGAAGCTCTTACCACAGGTCGACGCCCTCGTCATATTTCCGAGCTCCGTACAGCAGCTCTGGTGCGCGGTACCACCTGGACACACAGAAAGGAAAAACTCTTCTTCTCTGTTTGGGGCAGAGCAGGAAGAAGAACTTAAAACCTGCAAAACTGGACATAACTTTCTAATGAAACTTGGTGGGGGCGCTCTAAGGATGGGGGCTGATGTACCTACAGTTCCTCCACCTGAACGCTTTCATTAGGTTTTCATATTTTCCAAAAATGAGCTCAAACATCTATTTATTGAATGCTTTCCTGTTGTTGAGAACATCCACAGTAGTCTGATGTGTTTATAGGTAGTTAGACAGATGCCTTATAGTGCATTATGTATATATGGCCCAAAAATATTAATATATAAGAAAATATCAAATAACAGCTGATTCTGATGCCAAAATTGATTCATCATGCATCCCTAGAAGTACAATTATATTCTATCCATCCAGAGAAATATGGATGGATGGATTCCCTTTAAGCTGCATCAGTGATTATCCTCCTTACAAGCAGAGATGGGAATTAACGAAGTATAAAAACTTCGTTACTGTACTCAAGTAGATTTTTCTGATATTTTTACTTTACTTTACTACTTATTTTTATGGCGACTTTTTACTTCTACTCCTTACATTTTAAAAAATTGTCTCGTTACTTTAGTTTTGAATCATTTCAATGGAGTTACCGTTATTATTTTTCACGTCATCAATACCAAATTCAATCTAATTGGATGGGAATCTACGTTGCATTTGACGCACCACTACAAGATGAATCGACAGATTCGGCGGTATTCATTGGCGGCAAATCATTGCAGCTTGGTGGCGGTGGCGTTAGCATAGTAGCATGGACGACGAGATGATTGAAAATGAACACAACGGAGATCTAGTCCTATTGGCAGACATCCATTTAAAATGTAGGCAACGGCATGAAAAAAGTGGTTTCTACTTTTACTTTTATACTTTAAGTAAATTTACAAGCCTGTACTTTGTTACTTTTACTTGAGTAAAGAAGTTTAATCAGTACTTCCACTTTTACCAGAGTATTTTTTAACACAAGTATCTGTACTTTACTCAAGTACGGAAAGTAAGTACTTTTGCCATCTCTGCTTACAAGCACAAAATCTAATTTAGAAATGTGTCCTACATATAGTTTACAGCCAAAGTCTATATATTAATAGTTTGTTAGGTTTATTCTTTATACATCATGTGCACTGTTACTTTGTTAGCCAGATTAGAGAGAGTAGAAGGCCTTCCTTCACATGGTGAATGTCACTGTGTGTACGGAGGTCATCTAATCAGGGCAGCCTTCGTGTCTTTAAAAATACACAGGATATGGGCACATCTAGGAGCCGGTCTGATAGAGGAGAGCTATCTCTAATCCTTGGGAATAGAGGCAAGATGCATACAGGTCAGGGCATTGATGGCGTGTCAGTTTCTGATACTGACAGCTAAACATCCACCTGATGCAACACATAGACTCATGAGCTATAAGAAGGAGGAGATGACGTTGTTCGGGGCTCAATCTTTGCCGGACGCTCGCAGACGTGATTTTTTTGAGCCCACAGCTGTGCAGCTCCAAGCATTTCCTCTGTCCTGTAACGACCTGATCTGGAATTAACTCTGTTACTTTTTACTCCTGTTTTATAGTCCTTTTTATATGGTTTTACCCAGTTTGAGTTAAGAGTAGTAAATAATTTGCTCCCAGGAAAAGAACTGTGGGGAAGCCCTGAGGTGGAACTGCCTTTTTTAGGGGACATAACTTCCACATTTAAGTTGTATTTCAAAAATAATTTATACACTGGTTTTACTCGATGATTTTTTGCTTTAATTCTTGCAGGTTCCCTATATTTTAATTTTCAGTCTGTGTCCTGTGTGTCTGGCTCTCTCTGGGTTGCTGGTGGAGCTATTTCTGAGTCTTGCTGAAAAAGAAAAGACAAAAACGTACATTGAATTTAATCATAACAGCATATTTCTTTTCATGCAAACTTCCTGGTGAACGTGGAGATATATTTAAATCTGCAGCTCTCCCTGCTTGTGTCTCTGTGCTTAAAAAACGATTTATGAACAGTTTACAATAATAATGATGCCAGAGATAATAACTATCCAGGTAGAAGCTCTGCAGTCTTATTCTGTCTGTTTACGTAATCAGAAAACAACAGATGTTTTTCATTTTAGCCTGTAACAGAAGAAGCCAAGGTTTATTTAACTAGTAAAGAAGAACATTTAAATGATGTTTTCTCAAGCTTCTTGCATTATAACGCTAACTTGTATAAACTTATCATCTGTTGCCATTTTTGCTCCGCATGTCTAAGGAACTGATTTTTCATTTCTGCCTGGTTCTGCTGGAGGTTTCTTCCTGTTCAAAGGGAGTTTTTCCTCTCCACTGTCGCTACAAGCATGCTTAGTGTGAGGGATTGCTGAAGAGTCAATGAGTCGATGCAATCAGCTGGTTTTCCTTAGATAGAAACTTTTAATCAATCTGACTGGATGATCTGGTGAACTGGAAAGTGACCTGAGATGACATGATGTGAATTGGAGCTATAGAAATAGAGCCCTGAGTGCTGCTGTGTGTTTCTCCTCCAATCACGTAGCTACTCTCTACGTCGGGGAAATGCGACCGCAAATCAAATGTCTCAAAGCGACAGGTCCGATGATGTCACACTGAGAGGCGGGACACTGGAGCAGCGCGAGAGAGGAAAAACAAACAAGGACTGAAAACGTTCTGAAAACAGTTAGCTGCACCCAGCCTCCGCTAGCTTTGGCTAAAGTAAATGAGCGGAAAGGGGAAAACGGAACGAAAGCAGAGCTACACCAAAGGCTCAG